AAAAAAAAAAACCATAAAATTGGGGGTTAAAATGAGGAAAAAGGGACGTTTCGCTGCGGAAATAATTTTTCGGAGGCGGAGTGATGCGGATTGAAATCCCCGTCCTCGAGCACCGTCCAATCCAGGGGCACATGGACGGGGATTTCAACCTGCATAACTCCGCCTCCGGAAAGTATTTCCGCAGCGAAACGTCCCTTTTTCCTCATTTTTTCTCCGATTTGATTGTTTTATCAAAGAATAAGGCGCAAGATAATGGTTATTGATACTTTTTTGACAAAAAATAGACTTCGAAACATGTCTATTATAAATATAGTTCATCCATAAAGGTCCTCAGGCCCGGATTGCTTTCTTCCATCTCCCATATGAATGGCAAGTTAAATTCAGGCTGATTATAGATGCCTGAACGCAGTAGTTTGTGTGATCCAAAGACCGTGTCTAACGCGTGTCAAACACACTGCGAAGATTAAAAGGGGGTCTGGCACGCTGTCACAGTCCTCGTTAAATTCTGCGGTCTAAATCGGAGTGCGATAATTAGTTTATTACTTTGCTACTAGTACATTGTGAGTAGATTAGGTTAAACAGTAAAATTTAATCGTAATGTTCATGTCAGCTCGGCTTACTGGAAAGTCACGATTACAGTAAAGACGCGAAATTAGCTCTACATTCGACTTATCTCTAGCAACAAATAGAATAACTGAAAAAATACTCATTATCGTCCACGGTATTTGATTTTTATCTGAAATCTGCTTCGGATACATTGTACAAGTTAATTTCCTTTCATTTCAGGGAATTAATATACAAGACATCATCTACCGTCGCCAGAAAGTACGGTGCGAGGCTAGTGATCTTTACTGGAGCGGAGGGCTGCAATTCGACGAACATTTAAGTCTGTTCTGTAAAAATGTACATTTTGACTTCACTCTTACATCAATCTCAAAACATTCCGCAGCTCAGTGTTGTTTACACCCTATCCATCAAGCCCCCATTCATGTTTTCAGTTCACATTCGATTTTGGATGACATTATTTCCATTTCAATTTAATTTACCCTTTACTTATACTCCTCTGTCATACATGGAAGGGAATTATTAATTTTGCCAAAGAGCTTCTCCTGCCTTCTGACCTTCAAAAGTTTTGTTAAGTCCATAATGCACTTGCCTGAGTTATAGCTAATCTCTGCAGCATGTTAGGATTTAGTGGCGGTTGGAAAGTCTCGGTATCTTGGAGTTATAACTTCGAATATGAAGTTTAACTCCCTCAAAATGTCTGATGGTCTTCGTCGTACTTTGTGGAATGCAGAGTGATAGTGTAAATATATGGATTTATTGTAAATAACAGCATAAATTGTAAGATACGCTATGCAAGCGAGACAGCTCTATCAAAACATAAGATGGAACGGTCACTGTTAGTGAATCTGTATACTTAATAAAAGTGATGACTGTCTCTGTGTGCGTCTCCGTTA